TAATTCTGTTAAACTGAATGGATATTGGTGAGATGTAACTAACCGGCATCAAGTTTTCCTGAGAAAGCTAGCATCACACGAATAACAGTAATCCACATCTTTCTCGGTCTTCTATTGATTCATTGTGATTATGTAACGTTTAACCATAGGGGTGAGGCTGAATGTAACTGAGCATGTTTCTACTTGTTTATTTTTTATCCCAGCTTCTTGTTTATCTAAAGGGTTACAAACTTTGCTCGCTGCTTTCTTTACTCACATCTTCCAAACTTTGAGCCAATATCAATCTTTATGCTTTCCATCTCTCCGTCCTCACTCGTCTGTATTTCCACCCTGCCTGCAACCCCGAAATAAACCCAAACAGAATTATCAAAGGAGCTATGGATTAGGCACTAAATGCTGGGTGTGCTGAATGGAGAGCTTTGAAGTCTGTAGGGCTTTGAGGCGTAAATGTCACCACTGGAATCTAAGTCTAATTTTCACTCCTTCATCAGCCTATGGCCTTGTCCTCTGTCCCTCCCAAACATCAGGTATGCAGGTTTCAGTAATTTATACACCCGTCTGCTCCATTTCATATTCCTTCTATACTGTTTTTTGGCAGGGGTAGGGATCAAGCAGTAGTGTGAAGGTAAATATGATGGATGCAACACTCAGTGATGCAACACTAGAGCCCAAAGATAAATGAGTGACTAAAAGCAGGGAGGTTGTCTGTGATTAAATGAAAGACCTGTCCACTACAGGGGTGGGGGTCACAGATAAGCAAAGGAAACGCCAAGGTCCTGACAAAGAGGAAAAGGAAGCCCGCAGAGTTTCCAGAAGCTATGAATGGATACAGAAGGGAGGATATGGAAACAAAAGGGATGTATTTTACCAACTAAGCAGGCTGGTAACTTCTGTAAAGCCTCCATAAACTGGATATCATTGTTTCGCAATAATGCTTTCAGACTTTGAGGGAGGTTTAGAGTAAAGTAAGTGAAAAGATGGGGAGAGATGATGGTGCCTGGTGTAACCAGGTTCCTCCTTTCCATGATGCATTGCACTGAATGAACTATTCCTCATTTCCATAAGCCCAGCAAGGCTGGTTAATAAGTGATTGGTATTCTGCTCCTGGCCTTGCCCGGCTCTTCGATAAGCCTTCCACGCACACAGTCAGAACCCTCAGCATGATCTCATTTCCTGTCTCCCCACCACCACAAACAAACGCCGTCAAAGGCACAATTGTTCTGCTTCTGTGAGCATTGTTGGTGGAACTGCTGTTTTTTCTCAGTAGTTCACACAAAACCAGAATGCCCGTGCACACAAACCCGTGCAGCTCTGTATGCCGAGGGTGTCTGTAAGAGTTCACCCCATACATTGTGTCACACACGCTCACAAACACACAGTGACAGAGACGTAGATGCACACAGCATAACCCGCCTGTGGAGTAGCGATAACTGGGACTAAACAAAGGCCCTTTAATGTCAGTGTAAGCCTTTGTCCTGGAGGGGGCTTTGTGAGTATGAATGTGTGCGCATCTGTATGTCTTTGTGTTTACACATGAGCTATGTGTGAATACTGTATGTTTGTATTTGTATTTTGTTGTTTGTTTGTTTTTTGTGGGGGGGGGGGTGAAACTTTGAGAAAACTCAGATAACGTGACACTGAACTCAAGAACTGAAGAGAAGACTTTGTCCTCTAAGGGTTCCATTGCAATTTTCTACTACTGTAAATAATCGAGCCCAACCCCCCTCCTTTTTCTTTTTAGTGAGGAAAATCATAGATCTGTTGACGATAATCAATAATAAAGCTCTGGAAGTCCAGACGAGAAAAATGATGGCTCCCAGATGTTTTTTAAGTCTGCAGAAGCACGGAGTTGATTTAACAGCAGGAAGACAGAAAATGAAAGCTAGCTTGATAGTTTAGCAGGCCCGGGTGAAGACTGGATAGTGCATTTGGCAGTCAGGGCACAGTATCCGTCCTTCTCCCCTGTCTGGCTGTACTGAGTGTAGTTCCTGGCAGAGTCGAGGGCCCTGTACCCTTCTGATAACTCACCCGCTTGGCTGTTCATTGTCTCTACATTCCAGTGGCTGAAAATGGAGGTCGCTTTTTTGTAAAAGCATATCAACATCCATGAAAAGAGTGTCAAACCCTCACTGCAGACCAGGGAGCAAAGCGAGCCATCCACTACAATTAAAATGCTGAGCTTTATTCTGTTACTGAGTAAATGTGGCTTCACTCTTTACAGCAGTGTTACATTTCAAATTGCAAAGTTTAAATATGATAGGTGGCTGCTTTGTTGAAATGCTCGCGTAGTCACGTCACAGCAAAAAACTGAGGTGTACTGCCAGCTTAACATATATATGTATTTTTGAAACTTACAGGAAGAAACGTGAAGTGTGCAAACAATATATGGACATGTGAGACAAAGCCAGACGAGGCACGTGGCGTTTAAATAGCTGTGCAGAGTGCTCGCTGGGTTTTCTGCTTTTCCACCAGTCTTACTCAGCTGTACACAGGAACCCCTGCAACTCAATAGAGACAGCACCACCGCAAGAGGGCCTGGGGCCATAACAATCCGCACACTTCTTTTATCTGCAAGGACCCGTCAGATGGAGTTGAGTAGTTAGCTTGTCTACCTGCCCAGTGTGAAAAATACGAGAATGCGCCGGTGCTGGCCTTTCTTACTCATAATCATTTCCCAAGTAGTGGTAAAACAAGATGTGGCATCATCTCTAACTTTTTCCTTTCTTTATTTCTTCCTGCTTTCCTCCTTCGTGTCACTGCTCTCTGACAAACACAGCATAATCATGTTCACATTGTACACCTCTGCTGTAAAAAGGTGAGTGGTTCGACTAGTTGCCACCTCAGAGTTTTAATCAGATATTCTCCTACCCCCTTCTATAATCCGATGATTTAAGCTTGGTGTGTAATATATATGTATTTAATATATTCACGGTGAATAAATCTGTCAGTTTTGGGACTGATGGGTTATATTGTAGGTTTTAAGGCCAATTGGAGCTGTCACATGTCATATCTGCACAGAAATCTACATATACATTTAGATTTTTTTCTTTCTCTTTAACCTTGTATTTGCTAATTTGACAGCAAGCATTTTTCAAATATGTCACCACTGTTGTTAGCAGAGTGTAACACACATCACTGTAGCTTGAGTTTAGTGGGTTAGAAACTGTGTGTTTGTGTGGTATGTGTAGGAGTACCACAGTACTCAGGGTTCACCCTCGTCTGCAGCGGGAGCTGTGATGCAGACAGACAGCTCTCTCTTCTGTGCTTCTCGAGGCTGTGCATGCATCTGTGTGTTTATGTACAAGTCAGAAGCAGGCCACCATACCTCGTTGGTGGCTGACCTCCGAGGACAGGTGTCCTTACATCCTTCAGCTGGCACACACACAAATGTAGCCCCTGTGCCAGTTTCCTGCATTCGAGTTAACCAAACGGACAGTTGCCTTGTGACAGAGAAAAGCACGCTTGCAGCCTGTGTAGCAGCACGCCATGATCGTCTGTGGGAGACTCCAGTCACAGGGTGTGTCTTTCCTGTTAGAGACAGGCCAGGGATGCAGGCAAAACCCACCGACAGGGACTAGAAAAACAAAAGGCCCGGAGTTTTCGATTGTCCTCAGTAGCATTTATGTTGTTTAGGGGAAATACTGGCAACATCACATTAAATTTGTAATCCCTCTGTAATTAAATGTGACTCCTCTGATAGCCTTTTGGATTTTGCAGAGGCACTGGTGCGGTGGCGTGCGTAAGCAGATGTGACTGCGTTTTAAGAATTCAATGCTGTGGTGTCACAGCTCATTGCGACAGCCCAAGAGACGAATAGTTGTGCTTCTGATTGTCAAGGAAAGCTTTCCGCTATGGCAGTGAGCATTTTCAGGTAGAAAAAGAAGGGGGTAGGGGGCATCTCTTACCCGTCATGCTCTCCACCAGCATACGTTATTGAAACCTGGGTGGTTTGTTTACCTTTTTATACATCACTGTGCTCCTCCTTACCCTCTGTTTTTGTTCTGGCTGAAAATTGATTTGGATTATTCCAACATGTTTTCTCTTTATCCTGTTGGAAACCAGTTTCATGTCAAGAGGATTATGTTGGCAAATTTGTTTCCTTGTGGTACAAAGCTCCACAGCCACTCACCAGTGAAAGGGGGGCCATGATAATAAAATTGTGTCAAAACACACTGCCATACTTCACAACCCCTAGCACACTTTCCACCTCAATTTCCCTTGTTCTTTTTCCACCATGCCCACCCAGACTACACCCTGTGTAGTTAATATTCTATTTTTTGTTTGAGATCATTTTGACATCTATTGGGGCAAGCCAACCTCACTGTCGTCTGTGATCGTGCTCTCATTGTGGTGAAGGGACAAAAAATACAACCAGTGCAGCTATTTTAGCACGGTTTCCAGTCAAATAGGTGGGAAAAAACTGAAAAAAAAGAGGAACTGTGTCTGCTGGTTACCAACTTTTCCTTTCCTACATTTAGTAGACAGCAGATTGTTTGTGTCAGACAAGGGGAAAAAATCTATTTTGGGTTAAGCATGGCCTGGTAGATCACAGAAAACACATGATGGACGGCACCTGCACGCGTACTTGCTTAAGTGAAGTGGACATTACACTGCATAGGGAACTGGCAGGGTGGGGTCAGTTTAATATCCTGTCAGACTGATATGGACTTTTGTGTTCTCAGACACAAATCCTCCAGTGTTGTTGTCGAGAAAAGTTCAGGTCTGTAGTGCAGGTGTGAAAATGGCTCCTGAAAGGCTGAAAGAGGGTAGTTTTGGCTGTGCGTGTAGTCTTTGTAGCAGAGGCGTGATATCCAACAAAGCTGAGGTCATGCTTTTTGAAAGCTCATGGAAACTGCTTATTGCTTATGAAGGGTTTCTCTGAGGTAAATAAAATGTAAATTTTTCTGTCTTTTATGTGTCTGTATATAGACTCACAAGGTTTTCTCTCTCTCTTTTTTTAAAAATTTATTTTACTTTTTTTCCTCTCTCTCTTTCTGCAGTATAACTTTGTGGGGAGAATCCTTGGCCCGCGGGGACTCACAGCCAAACAGTTGGAAGCAGAAACGGGATGCAAAATCATGGTGCGAGGAAAAAGCTCCATGAGAGACAAAAAGAAGGTAAGATCATCAGTGGCAGTGTGCCTGGTATATACAAGAGGAAAACTCATATTTTTTTTAATTTTCACACAATATTGCGAAAGTTTCTGGGCCAGTGGTCACACAAAAAGCTTCCCTCTGGTCTTGAAGAAACATGAAGCAGACACATGCTTAGCTAATGCCCAGTGGCTGCATCCTGATATCTGATAGTGCTGTTTGCAAAACGCTGCGCAGTGGAAAGTATTGAAGCCAGTAGTAAACCAGTCGGCCAAGGCCAGGAGCAGCCACTATTTCTGGATATACCGAGCTGACTTTGGAGACATATAAGGTCTCTACATATCCACAAAGGACTGAAGTTATGCAAAACAATGCCACCTTTTGCATTATTTTATTTACAAACTGTGCTCTTTAGGTAAATAAAATAAAATAAAATGATGTGAAACATTTTGAGCCCACAGTCATAAAAGACCTGGAGTATTGATGTTGTCTCTCTGTGCGAGTGACATGGACACGATTACTCCAATGAGACGACGTAGGATTTTCAAATTGATATACCATAGGTGTGTGTCCTAAAAATCTCAGACGCGGTCAAAGTCAGACGCCAAGTTTGCTGAAATTCCTATCATAACACAATCCCAAAGTATGGCTGACAACAAGACAACAGCAACAAAAATGCACCCTGAAGTAAGATTTCGAGTCTGTCAGATCAGGTTTAGTGATGCCCTTAAAATAAGAATACTTTATTAATCCCTGAGGAAATTGTGTGGAAGTTAATATAAGGACAAATTGACAGTTTTAAGATGTGTTGTTTCAATTAACTGCAAATTTTGCCCATCTGCCTCAAAGCCTCCTATAAAGGCTGCTTTTGACTGTATTTAATTAACTCATTATTTATATCTCATTTTTAAATTTTCCTTTTCTTTGTGTTCCCAATTGCTCATCATCATATCGGTGACTCTTTAGGTACACCTTGCTAGTACCAGATCAAGCCCGCTTTTGCTTCAGTAACAAGGCATTTTTACCCAGAGAATTGCCTCTCACTTTGTATTTTGTCTTTTTCTGACCAATTTCTGTAAACACTAGAGATTGCTATGTGGGGAAATTCCACAGATCAACAGTAGATCAACAGTTTCTGAAATACTCACACCAGCCTGTCTTGACAACAACAAACATTCCAGTTTCAAAGTCACTGAAATCACCTTTCTTCCCCATTCTGGTGCTCAGTTTGAACTTCACCATGTTGTCTTGACCCAACTAAATATTTTGAGCTGCTGCCATGCGATTGGCTGGTTAGATATTTGGCTTAACAAGCAGTTATACAGGTGTACTTAAAAAAGTGACCAGTGCATTGACACAGTGTGATGAAAGCAGCTGTAATTTAACAGTTGCAGAAATGTCTTTTGTCCATGTCCAAATACTTACCTTTCTCCTACATAAAAAAACAAAAAACAAAAGTCCAACAGTTACAGAATAGTCCAATAGATCATACAGATTCCAGCTGAGTCATATGTTAGAGGATCCAGTTTGCTGCAGGCCCAGTGTTTTTGCTCCACTTTCTTTTTTTTCCCCTCTTTTTTTATGGCTTCTTTCATTCGTATTTTAATTTCTATCTTTCCTTCTCATTTCCATTTGAGTAAGTTCATTATCACAGAACAAGATGGAGATGCTCAGCTGCGGCGTCTTCTTTGGAATTAGATCCCGAAGTTGTTTAATGGGACCAAGCATGCTCACACATGTACCAGCCCACACATCCTTTTGTTTTAGCTCATTACGTGAATCCATGATTGCCTCCCTTATTTCTTACTGTGTTAAAAGTTAATGACGTGTGCCAGTTTGTTTTGTGTGTGTGTGATGCTGTGATGGGACCTGTCAAGGCAAATATTACACACATAAGCAAGCAGGATCATTTCTCCACTTGATATTTAGAAATTAAATGATCTCATGTTCAAAATGCTTCATAAATGGTCCTGAATACTGTGTATACATAGAAAATCTAAGTAAATGAGGAAAAGGTTTTGTTTCCTCCCCCAAATCCATTATAGTTTTTTTTTTTTTTAAATTTCATTTCTCTTTTTTCCCCCTAGTATTGTGCTATGATTTTAACGTACACCCATGTAGGGCTACAAAAAAATCATTATTTGAGAGGATTACTTATCGAGACTAAAAACATTATACATTTGTGGAATTTAAAAATGTTTAAATTTAAATTAAATTTAATTAAACTGAACAACAAATAAGTGAATGGAAAAGAAATTAGGTGGTAGGGTTACAGGATTGTTTTGATGGAAGTTGAGCTCACTAGTCTCCACTTCAGGAGTTTGCTGGTATAGTTTCACCTTTGTTGAGGAAAAGGCATTTGCTGGACTCATAAAAAGAGACAAAACCAGAACACCATTACAAAATTGATTGCAGCACAATAATTCCCTATTTCGATTATCTTTCTTTAAACAAAATTATAACTGAAGATTTAATTACATTAATCACTCAACACTCCACTAATGTTGTTTTTTTCCTCCCCATTAATGTTGCGTTACAGTGCGTAATGAGGAAAACGCCTAATAATGTGACTGTTTTTGGATCCATAAATCATAATAGATACTATGAGATTTGTTTACAGGACCCCAAAAGCTTTGAAGCGTCTCATGGCTGTGGCTCAGCTGCAAATAAAGCTGCGTGAGGAGCTCCCAGTCACTGCATTCTCAACCTCAGTATTTTCAGCTTGATGCCCCGTGGCAGAAGAGGATGCCACGGCAGCAGCTTAGCCAGTGTGTTTATTCAGGATCCATTAGCAGCAGCATTTTTATGCTCTCAATAATTCAGCTGGTTACTCCCTCTTGGGTCGCACTGCCTGACAGGGAGTCAGTTCACTGGAGCTATGGAATGGGAAAGAGAAGTAAAGAACAATAGTGAGAGAAGAAAAGCAGAAAATAAAATAAGAGGGAAAGAAGCAGGTGAAGAGAACAATAGGGTAGACTGATGGATGACGAGTGATGGAGATTTTTGTAATCCTGAACATCTAATCACACCAGATTATAATTATTTGTTGTATATTTATGTAACAACACATATCATGTTTTGTTTCAGGCTGCCTGACACAAATTTACTTTGCATTGCAGCCTTCTTTTGTTTGCTGTAGTATTTTGTGTGCAAATTAAAAACTGTAGTCATTTAATTGTTTCCAAGCACAGTATTTAAGCATAGTTAACAAATGTCTTTTGTCTAATGGTGCAGCATTGGGTTATTTAGAATAGAATATCTGAAGTAGAAATTGAAACATGTTGGACAAGATGGAAAAATAAAGTGATTTTCATGAATTTTCCCTAGAACAGCTGCATTTCTTGCCCCTGAGTAATAATCGAGTGCAAAGCGTTCTTTCTTAAATGTTAATTTTTTTAACATAAGAAAAAAAAACATTAGAGAAAAATCTGTTTTGTGCCTCTGACCGAGTCACCATCGACATTTCCTCAGGACTGAGGCAAGATATTTCTGTAATGACACACTCTTTGTCAAATGAGTTGCAGCACGGCCTGTGATGTAACGATTGCAGGCCTGCACCGTAGTGTTGACGCTAAAATGATGTTGGGCAGCTATAATGGACAGAGCCCAGCAGAAGTATTTTTATCATTTATGGTTTGGCATGGTAGGCAAATACAGAATATGAAAATAGTGAACTTACTACAAATGTCTGTGTGTATGTGCAGGCATCTGAAATCCAGCTTAGACTGAGACAGGGGAGTCTAACACATGAAAATAACTTGTGAGGTCTCTATAAGAGTGACTGGTACACGTAGATTTTTGCAACATCTCTTAATAGAGAAGTATGGTTGGAAAGATGAAAGATTTTCTGACACATTTGAGTAATTATTTTTCTGACAGCTAAAAAGGACTCTCTTTGCAGCCATATTCCAATCAGATTTTCACCTGACGTGGCAGCTTTGGTCTCTGTTTTCCACTCCCGCAGTCGCGCTTAATGCAAAACAGCAGCAAGAACAACTGCAATTAAATTACAGGTACGCTGTATCGACCGCTGCACAGGCAGAAAAGGGATTTCCCTTCCCTTTTGCAAAACCAATTCCCTAATTCTATTTTGGCTGCTACATGGTGAAATTACGTAGATGGCTGTTTTATTTAGAGTCGCACTAAATGTCCTTTCAGACTTGCACTTGAAAAATGTTCTCTATCAAGTGAATTAGCTTTGATTTGTATTTTTTGCTGATTGTCCCAAAACATAATGGCTAAAACTGTGCTATCAGCATGGTCACTGATGGAATAGAATCGGACTCCAATTTGAGCCATCAGCTTGTGCCAGCCCATAGACAGAGTCACACTACAGCTCCTGCATTTATTGCTTAAGAGTTAATATGTGACATTGGCAGTCAATACACTGAATTCCATTAGCCTGCTGGCTCTGCAGCAGACCTACTTGTTTTGTTTACATTTTAATTTATTTTTTTAGCTCCTCATCTTTGGATGCACTTCGATAGAGCCACAATAGCTTCTTTGTACTTAAGTCTTCAGAGTCCAGGTGTTACTTTAGTTGCCTTGGAGTTTTTCCTCTGCAAATAGCTTTAGGGGGTTAAAAGGTGACTGTCATAGAAAAAGGACTAAGGCGGATATTTAGTGTTGTACATTTCTAAATTATATATAAAATCCAATTTAATTTGTGAACATTAATATTTGATTGTGGAAGAAGCACAGGCTGCCAGGCTGATTACACACCAGAAAAGCTGGTAGACATCGGGGCTGCGCCTTGGTTAACTTGGCACCATCCAACCGCAAAAGGGCACACTGTGAGAATAGCAGATACATGCAGGTATTACGGCTTCATGCTTTCAGTGCACAGATGCTGGTGCATGGAGAGAGAAAGCAGTGAATAATTTAGTCTACCTTAATTAGTTAATATTAATGGCTGGTTATTAGCAATGTTTACCTTAAGCTGAACAACTTAAGGGAAACAATGTCGAGTCAAAATATCTGCCTGGTTCTTTTCTCTCATTTTATATTTATAGCTCTAACTCTTTCAAGCTGTTTTTATGTTTTTGAATTTATACTTAATCACTGTAATGACCAACTGTTAACAATAGTTTAGTAACATTAGTTTAGTTGTTGTAGCTAATGGATAAAATACACCCTAAAAACAATATGTCCCATTGCTTAGAGCCTGTGGGGTCACTTGAGGCCTGGTTTGCAATACACTGACTGAAACCGAATACCTAATGGACACAAAGTGTCGCACAAAGTCACTTTGACTTTAAAATGAAATCAACATCCATATGGTATTGATGGCTGAGAGAATGATTTGTACTCCCTGCAATCTGAAAAGCCTTATTTGTAACGGAGTTGTGTTGCAGGCTGTTTTTGGTCTGTTTTGAGCACCCTTAATGTGATTGGCATTGAGCAGAGGGTGCAGCTACACTTGCCGTATTACCCAGTAATTCATGTCTTTGTTTCTCTGTGATAGCTGGCTATGTCCTTTAGCCACAAAGATTTAAAGGTGACCTGTTTAGTAATGTCATGTTCAATCTGTCATTTTTGATCTTGTTTATTGATAAGTTGAGTTTTTTAACCACTGTCATCTACATTTTGGGGGTGGATATGTTGGTTTTCTGTGTTTATTCTGTAATCTGGCTCATTTTCATTTAATATGTAGTTATATCTTTTCCCCTCAGTGCTTACTGTTCTTCTCCAGCGTTGCTTATCTTCTCTTGTCCTTCCATGTCCTTGCAGCTCTCTGCTGCACCTGTTTGGCCTGCTTGCATTCAGCCTCAGTTGTTCTGACCTTAGTTGGGAAATCCTTTAGGATCAAAAGCAAATGGGCCGTTCAGAGTAGCAAAGGCAGAGTTGAAACAGTAGCTAGACTGTCAAATACCAACAAAATAACAATAAAATTGTGGCGCCGCATGGCCAAAGATCCTTTTGAGTGTACCTGACTGTAAAGAATAACTACTCAGATCATGAAATAAGTTTAAAAAGCCTACGTTGAATCACGATTTTTAGGACAACCAAAAAAGGGATCGTCAAAAATATCAGTGCTATATTTTTGTAACCTTTTAACATGTGGTGAGAATTGAGGCCTTAAGCTTTCTGAGAGGTGTGAAATGCAACGGGCTAACAGGTGCTGCACAGACGTTGGAAGTCGGGCAACATAGCTGACTAGCAGCCTTTCCCCTTGATCCTGTTCTTAGATGGTGTTTATAGATGCAATCCCCATGCTATTTTTTTCATGCTACGTGCTTTGCCAAAATCCATTGCCCTCCGGTACGTGGTTATTGCAGTGGCATTTGATGTTGGCCAGCATGGACATTGTCTTCAAAGGCCTTCCCAATATTCCTGGTAGGTCTCCTCTTACCTCCCCCTCCAGCCTTCCTCCTGTTTGTCATGCTGTCACATTCTCTCAGAGGCACACAGTGACCTTGTTCTCAGGCAGTCATGCTGGTGTGAGATGTGTGGGTGTACGCATCGCCCCCACCCCCCGATATATTTGGATAAAATCCTTACCAAATCTGAATCTGTCCGAGCTTTGGTGGTCACACTTTGCACACATATGTGCACGAGCATGTGACCGACTAATCTTTTTTTGGTTCCAACTTGAGCAGGAGTCTGTCAGTGTAAATACTTTTACGTGTCAGCCATGTGTTTTCATACTGTGTCCTGCATACAGTGGCAGCCCTTGTGGCCTTTCTGTCTTGTCCCCTCCAGAAAGTGCTGAGTCACGTTCCAGTCCCCATGTCCCCTAATAGGCCATAAGCAAACAGCCATGGTGAAATAATGGCCTGACTGCTGAAAACTAGCCCCCCAACAACCCTCCCACCCACACCCATGTGTGGAAAAGGGGAAAACGAGAGTGGAATATTGAACTTTCTTGTGTGTGTGTGTGTGTGTGTGTGTGTGTGTGTGTGTGTGTGTGTGTGTGTGTGTGTGTGTGTGTGTGTGTGTGTGTGTGTGTGTTGTAAAGAGCAGTGCCATGGCAACAGCTCTCTGTGGAGTAGAAAGCAGGTGGGTGGCACTCAGCTCAAGCTCTTAGTACTGTGCGTGCGTGCGTGCTCCACCTCACTTTGAGGTGCTCGTTGAGTATATTGAAATCATGTCAGGTGGACCCCATGCAGAGCACTGCAATGCATTGTTTGTAATTAGACATCCTTGCAGCAGTTCGCCTACTACTCAGAAATGAGCCATGATCTGGAGTTGAGGTGGTTTGTATGGGCGGGAGTAAACGATACAGTATTTATGAACAACAGCAGGAGAGTATGCAGCTGACTCCTCGAGACTCTGACCTCCTTTGGAAAAACATTTCTGATTTTACAATGCAGTCAGATTCATTTTCGTTTTGTCTTCACGAACTGAAACATTTGAGCATTATTATCCCTTTTTCCCCTTTTTGGTGCTATAATGTGGTGTCACACATCAAAATCTGAGGTTGTATCTTTTACAGACAACCTAGACCTCAACTCCTCACCTCAAGGGGAAGTAGTCTGCTTTCAAACCACTGGCTTTCATGGTTGTACGCTGACATGCGATCCAACCTCAAAAGCTTTTTAGAGCGCTCTCAGTGTCTGCTCGCTAGATTTACTGTCAGCCGGGCAACAAGAAGAGGGAGGAAAGTAGCTATGCTAAATTGAAAATTGATCCCATTTTTTATTTTTTTGCTGCAAATGTAGGATTTTTTTGTCTGTACATATATCCCATTTTACCTTTTTCACACGACTTGGGTATGACTGGGCTTTTCATGGAGGCAACTGAAAACATAAAGCTTCTCTAAACTTCAGTCTGCCAAATTTCAATTTTGAGCCTGCTTCCTATTTAACTGTGTTGAAAGGCTATCTAGCAGTGATGGTGGTTTTGAATACAACCCATTTTTTCCTTTTAGATGCTGCTATTGCTACAGTTTGGGACCCTGAGAGTGCTGTGCTGCTGCCTTTGTAGGAAGGAAAACGACTCCTTCATCGAACCTTTGTTGCCCTTACAGTGTATGTCAAAATGTGTCAGAGGCAGATGCACACTCATGTACTTTCACATACTCTGAGCCCTAGCTATGTTATAATTTTATTCCAACAAGTGAAGTTGCTGCGGTTTAAAAAAATAAAAATAAAATAAAAATATCCCCATCCATCTCTCTCTGATCCATCCATCTTTCACTGATATTAATTGCTGCAGGGCTAGCTGTCATCTTTGTCTCTGCGAAGCGAGGGATCTATTAAAGAAGGGTGTCCTTTCAAAGTTAAAGCTAAATAGCTGACTAAAGGGCCGGCCCTGTCATCCCGCCTCTCTTCACAGGGCCCCGTCGTCCTCTGTGTATGCCTGCCTCTCGCCTCCACTTTCTCTGATATGCCGTGTTACTGCACTGGTACTCTAACACACCCACACTGTCACATTCACTCAACGTCTCTCTCGCTCTTCCTATTTCTCTGTCCAGGAGGAGCAGAACAGAGGGAAGCCAAACTGGGAACACCTAAATGAAGACCTTCATGTCCTCATCACAGTGGAAGACACACAGGCTAGAGCAGAGATCAAGATGAGGAGAGCAGTGGAGGAGGTCAAGAAGCTCCTTGTACCTGCAGTAAGTACATACTGTCCACAAGTTTATACGTACACATTTTGTACTCTGCCTCTTGCCGGTCGGATGGATGTATGGATGGATGCAATGGTAGCAGCTTGTGGTTTAATGAGAGATTTAATGTTCTCCATTTGAGTTTCCCAGAAGATGAAGGACTTATATTGACTCTAAATTTATGGTCCTATGAGAAGCTTTTGGTCAAAACAACAAGATTACCGACCTACATATGGCATACTACTTCTATCCCGCTGTTAGCATCCTGTTTACTTCCATATATAGTTGAGGAGAACAGGTTGGCTGTACCTCCAGCGGAGTGGAAAAACATAGCTAGCTGTACACACCTCCTGTGACTGCTACATTTCATCTCCGCTTCCCCTCTGCCAAGACTTCCTCTTACATGGTGCCACTGGTGATAGCTGCTGGTAGTGCTTTTGGCATGCAATGCATATTTTGCTTTTAGCTGTGGTGACCAGGTGGGCAGGGCAGCTGAAGGCACAGGTTTACCACCAGGTGGCAATGCACAGGGTTGGAGGTCTGTGGAAATGGGGCCAACCAAAATCAGCCCTACAAGGTTAAACAAAGTGTTACTTGCATTTGTAACCTTGTTAATCCGCTGTCCTTCATGCATTCTATCGTGCTAATGCATAATTATTCCTACATGTGTGCTTCACATTAAGATTCTTTCGCCCGGGGAGGGACATACGCAACAAGGACAGCGTTTGTCCCAGTTGTAACTGTATTACAATTACAAGCATGTAATGTTTGAGTGTCAGAGTTATGATGCCTTCGATACCCCAAGAAAGTCAACATTTGTGGAAATGAGCTCAATAGTGGGAAAAAATTTGATCTGAACACATCAAAATAGGGGTTATAAGATTACAGGGATATTCAGATGCACACCAGTAAGAGCTGTATGTTAATCAATCTGTCAAAAAGTAGCTGAACAAACTTCTCTTCAGACTTATAAAATGGAAACCTGAATCCCAAGAGTTAAGTTGAAGTCACCTATTTAGCTCTAAGACCAACATGTTTGAAACTTTATATAGAAATTCTCATGCAAAAGGCTCTCTGAATCCTGGTGTTGTATTAGGAAAAACAAGCATAGACTATAAATTGCTATATTTTAATTCAAATGTTTACATGTGTCAGCTCAGGGTTATTAGTTATTTTATTGGGTCTGCCACATCAGGAAAGTAATTGTTAAAACAAATGGGGTTTACCTCTTTACCCCTTGAAGCTCCTTGAGTGCTTTCTCTCATATTTCTGGTCTGCTTATAGAACAAAATGACTGGGTGTGCATCAGAAGTTAGTGAGGGTAATCTCTGCCTATACAGCTACTGTATGCTTGAAAAGACCTGGAAACCATCCTAATGGTCGTCAAACCACATTTTTATTGATATATACTGAGGTGTCAAAACTCATAATGGGGGAGACTGTAAAATGTTGTTTCATAGTGTAAAGAGTTAAAACAAATCCTTGTCATTGCATCATTCTAGGGCCCTGAACGGTATCTTTTCGTTTAGACCAGTTTAGAGTAGGGCTGCTCAATTGATCGAATTTTAATCACGATTACGATCTGGGCTTTCAACGATCATTAAAAATGACTGAGCCGATTATTAGCCCCTCCCTCATTTATCCGTGACACCTTAAA